ATGCAGGGATGGTCTCAAGACATGGGCAGATTTAATTTTCTAGACCTGTATATAATATTAGTCTATGATTATAATTTCAAAGATTTCAAAGCAGTGCATGAAAACTCCATTTTCTGGCTAGCATGACAAGTCTTGGCTCATTAATAGAAACATGGAGAGTGAGAATTGAAGATGGGTATAAAAATGAGGATCCAGTAGTGCAGTCCATACTTACAGGGAGAATTATTGATTTCTTTGGCTTATCTGAGAGGTCCAGAAACAATTTTTTCAGATATATTATTTTTTATGACATATAAGGCCAGATTTACAGTAATTAAAATTTTAGGGATGTCTCTGAAATTTATAATGAGGGAAAATGTAAATAAGAAGTCTTAAGAAGTAAAACTTATGGAAGAACTAAAATGGGTTAATTTGAGTTTCTTTTTTAATCAGAGGAAAAAGGTGTTTCTTCTGTTCTGACAGGTGGGGAGAACTGCGCAAACAGAGTCTTTCTGCTGAAAACCTGAATTCTGGCCAAGTAGCTTAAACTGTACATTTTATATTGATTATTAGAGTTAGGAAAAATGAACATCACTGTTTCAGTACATGTGGTTTTGGTGATATGCTGAATTTAAAGTTAATTTAGGATGGGATTTTCTGCAAATTTTCTTTGTGAAAATATCTTGACTTCATCCTAGGAATGAATAAGATTAGTTTTTTAAACTGCGAAAATATATGAAGAACAAGTAAAACATAATTAGACCAATTTATAACAAATTTGAACATTATACATTTAAAACACTTTGTGTATATAGCTAGATTACATGCCATTTACAAGTAAAATTATATTTTATCAGTCATATTCTTTGTTTTGCAACAGCAGACTGCCAGTCACATTCATTTTCTGTTTATTCTCTTCGTCTAGTGTAATTTTGTTGTTTCCCATTTAGAATAATTCATTAGACAAATTGCTTTTAAGTTGGGAAGTCAAAGGCAGCTCTTTGTTCACGGCGGCGTAGCCGGTTGTCCTTCCTGTAAGTGGCCCTTCTGGAAACCACAGTGCTTGAACAGTTGCTGATAGCACTGCAAAAGCACCTCATGTAAAATGAAACTCGCTGTGTTCTTATTGATTTTACTACAAATGCCACTTATCCACAGGAGAGTCAAGCTCCACTTTGTTATGATGATGGTCTGTTCAGAGCAATTCACGCGTCACTACTCCAAAAGTTCAATTGTGATCTAGTGGAACCCGAGGCCTCACAGCTTCATTCACACCTGGCAGTAAAACTCGGCTGATTTTGCAAATTCAGGTTCGTGCCTTCCCAATAAAGTCCATCTTTGTTTCACTTCGACACTCAGAAGCTGAATCACAGAATTGCTGGGGTTGGAAAGGATCTCTGGAGATCATCCAGCCCAACCCTGTTGCCAAGACAGGGTCACCTCAAGCGAGAATGTGTCCAAGTGGGTTTGAATGTCTGCAGAGAGGGAGAACGCATGACTTCCCTGGGCAGCTGTTCCAGTGCTCTGTAACTCTCATTATAAAGAAGTTCTTCCTCATGTTGATGTGAAACATTTTGAGTTCTGTTTTATGTCTGTTGCCCCCTGTCCTGTCACTGGGCACCACTGAGAAGTCTCACTCCATCCTTTTGGCCCCTGCCATTGAGATATTCTTGTGCTTGGATGAGATTTCCTCTAAGGCTTCTCTTCTCCAGACTGAACAGGCCCAGCTCCCACAGTCTCTCCTCTTAAGAGAGGTTCTCCAGTCCTTTAATCATTTTTTGGCCTCTCCTGGACCCACTCCAGTAGCTCCTTGTCTTTCTTGAACTGTGAAAACTGGAATTGAACACAATATTTGAGGTGTGACCTCACTAGGGCTGAGTAGAGCGGGAGAATCAGCTCCCTGAATCTCCCTTCAGTACCACAATAAACATTTCTGCTTTCTCTGTGCATATCACTAAGAGATTTAATTGAAAAATAACCCAGCTATTTGGGAATCTCTAATTATATTATAGTAGAGAGTACATAACCTCTATATCATAAAATAAATACAATTGTATAGAAGAAGACTGTGTTTGTACAAATATACATATACTTATGCATGAAAGTGCAAATGAGAGTGATATTTTCATCTATTTGCATTTTCTTGTTTGGACTATTGCATATGTAAAAATTAGATATTAATAGATTTCTTAAAATGTTTTTAATGCGATTTAAGGGACTTCAGACATACATCTCAATGGAAGGGAAATAAATGCAACTAAATCTCCTCAGCAGCTATGAAAATCTTAATCATGACTGATAAATTGTGCAATATCTAATTCCTGAATCAGTGAAAGTATATGAGAAGCTAAACTGCAGGGTGTCAATATATTTCAATAGAAGAAAATGCTATTGTGTGTGAATCTAATTGCCCAACTGAATATATTTTTGTACTTCTATGAAATTACATACCTCTAGTAGATTTAACTTGTAAGGATAAAGGAAAAACTTAGTTTGAAAATGTAATCTATCATGACAGCACTACCTAGTGTGTCTGAGACACTTGAGGGTTTACATTTTCATCCTGTGACTCCTTATGAAATTCAGCAAGACAATTTTCAAGTGAGACTGTAAACACAGAAAGAACAGTTGAAGTCTTCAGAGGTGCATCCAGGTTCCCTCTTTGTTAATTTCCTGCTATTGAATGACTGAAACTCTTTGCAAATAAATTTAAACTTTGCTTTGAAATAAAACATTCCCATTTGTGACTACTTTAACAGATAATGAATTGTTGCTAAATTAATTTTAATTTTCTTCCTTTCTTTTTACCTTGGCATTGTCTCATTTCATCTATCTCCTGTAGTACATTGAACAAGTGAAAATGTTTAACTAGAAAGGAAAGTAATGGAAGGACTAGCATGTGCACCTGAAATTCAGGTTCCAAGTTTTATATCAACTATTTCTAAAACCATAACCAACAAAAGAAATAAAGTTTATATATGCTTTCAATAAAATGCCTCTACTGCATAGATAAAATACAATGTACTACTAAAATACATTTATATTTTGTAACTCAAGATACAGGGAATAAACATTGCACTGACAAAACAATATAAAACAAGCTATATTTCTGTGTAGTGATACATAGAAATACTAAATAATATTAACGTGTTAATGAAGGGCTATAATGGCTGTTTATTGTGCTTACAGTTACAGGAAAGATAAGTCTAGTTGCTTCAAACAATTCAGTTTCTACTTTTCACCTTCTTGTTCCTAGAAATAGAGTACACCAAACTGTTTTGCTGATTGTTAAGTAAAGAATTTTAAACTAGATTTATTGTGACTGATGCCTACAGATACAGGGATAGGAACCACATCCATAACTTTTCTCATTAACTTTTACTTATTACTAACAGGCTTTCTCCAAGATCTACCCCTTATTAACTGCTAGTGATATCATTCACTCACAAGAGATTTAAATGTCATTGGTTACAAACTTATTAATCATAAATTCTAGCATGCAAAACTTTGCTGTTACTGAAGGCAAAAGTATCTTAGTCATTAAAGCACATTTGTTTCTAATGATTTTTTTAGACCTTTTAACACCCAACCAGCAACCACAAAAAAACCCTCTAAACTGAAAATTGCATTTTTAGCTCCTTTCAGTAAAACATGATCTCTTTTAACTAATGTTTGATTTGAACCAGAGTCCCAATTCAGTAAGATATTATGCAGATTCCATACTACAAATCTTCAATTGGATAGGAAATAGTACTCCACTGGAAGAAGTAATGAGGTCTGAAATATAAAATTCTGAACTAGAATGGTTATGTTTGATTGTTCCTCCTCCCAGGCTATGGGAGATGTTTTCTATATCCTTCCTATGCCATCCCACACTTTTCTCACTTCTAGAAAGGCAATGATGTTCTGAACTCTGTGAGTGAAACCCAGGGCATATTCATTAGGTATTTCAGAATAATTTTTTTAAAACATCCAAATATTGAAAAGATTTACAAATTTGAATTCAGGAAATGCAAACATATGCTATTTGATGTTTCCTCAAAATTATTTCATCTGATTTAGAACTTGTAATTGGGTCCTTTGCAAGCAATTATTTCACTGTGATAGTCTTGCAAAGATGTGGAAAAGAAGCAAACCACATTATCAATATTTGATATGTTATTTATTAATTATAATTATTAAAAATAGTTGTTTATTAATCTGATACTAATTTAACAGCAATTAATGATTAATAAAGGAATTATAGTGCTAATATTTACAACCTACACTTTAGAAATGCAGGAGCTCTTAATGTCATTGTTGTAGAGATTGAATTTTTCCCAAGTTCTTTTCTCAGATGTTACTCATATATATATATGTATACGTATATGTTTTTCATATACAATTGTTTATACATTTATAAAACAGTTTAAAAAGAGAAAAAGAAAAAAAAAATGTGTAACTGTTTCATAATTATAAAGCCCCTCTAAAACTGATAGTTCTGCATCCTTATAACATAAGCAGTTGCATGAGGCTGTGTCAGGGGAGGTTTAGGTGGGATATCAGGAAAAGGCTCTTCATCCAGGGGGTGTCTGGGCACTGGAACAGCTCCCCAGGGCAGTGGTCACAGCAGCAGCCTGACAGAGTTCAAGAAGTGTTTGGACACTGCTCTCAGGCACATGGTGTGACTCCTGGGGTGTCCAGTGCAGGGCCAGCACCTGGAGTCAATGATCCTCAGCAGTTCCTTCCAACTCAGGATAATCTATTCATCAAATGTGTTGGTCAATCAAAGGCCACTGAAAAGGCAGCTTATATGTAACAGGCTGTTAATTTTACTGTTTGATTTAAATACAAGGACCCTCTGTAAAAAAATTGACTAATGCAAAACTGTTAAATGCAGTTTGTTGGCTAAATTTTTATTGAAAAGAAACAGTTTTCCTGTTTTTTTTTCCTAGACAGCCTTGTATGTGATCTGTTCCTGTTCTTCAATCTCCTCAAAAGCATCTTATGAGAGGATGACTTCTCTTAGCTTTAATTCTCCTAGCCTGAGGATTGCTTACAGAAATGGTATGAATTAATATGTTATGACCTCAAATGACATGGTGGAGGAAGTGTGTTGTAGTCAGAATATATTTAAACTCTTTAATGAGAGTAAGCAATGGTTTAACAATGATTCAGCAAGATAGTTATAAAAACTTAAGTTACTATATTTCTTGTAGTTTTAGAGCAGACTGTGTAAGGAGGATGATGTGGCTACATATTTTTATTGTTGCATAGTCTTTTTAATGAGATAAAATTATTTAATTTAATGTCTATGTTTTCACGAGAAATGAATCTGTGTTTGTGTTTAATATATCTGTCTTACAGAAATGTCTGTCAAGTTGTGATGAGCTCCAAGTTAGGTACATACTATTTGCTCCCTCTAATACTTTAATTTTTTGCTAGTCAATGTCTGTTGGTATGAAATTTGAGATTTTATTTTGAGATTATATTTTTTAAATTTTTTGCTAAATATAAGCCGGTGTTGATGATTCAGAAGATAATTATGATCAAAGGATATTTTTATGGGGTAAAAACTTGTGATACTGCTTCTTCACTGACTTCAATTTTGTAACCCTGTAGTGACTTTTGTATTATTTTTAACATTTGTGCTGCTTTTCAAGGGGGCCAGAAATGTTTCATTTTGACAAAATTTATAAATACAAATTACCAGACAGTAGTTAGCAGGTGTCTTTGGGATATTCTCACTACAGAAGAGTGAGACTTCCTCCTCATCTTGGATTATTTGACCTGTGTCTGCTTTCTCCACACCCCAGTATATTTCTTCCTAGGCTATCTCTTTTTCTTGGAGCTCTGGCATGTTGCCCCTAAAGGGCTGAAGAGCTTTTAGATGTAGAGCTGTTTGCCCCCAGTGCTGTGGAACAAGCTGTGCTGCAAGCACACAGCACAGGCTGTACTGCTCTGAAATACTATTGTCTGTCTTTTCCCATCTGCTGCTAAAATCATCATCACTTCCCTTCAGCCACATTAGAAAGACCTACTATTTAAAATAAAAAAGGAACAATGTCTACCAGTATTCTTACATCTATAACAACTTTATTTTTTCATAGCTCCTTCCATTTGAAAATTTCAGAGTGTCATAAACATGAGTTAATTCTAGTTTTCCCATTTATGAGTAATTTTATTTTTTCCCACCTATAAGTACAAAGGGTTGGTCCTAAACCTAGACAGCTATCAGTGACAAAATAAAGGATTCTTACTCAGAAAATCTTGCTCTGTTGTGAGCACAAGCATCTTTTATAGCCTAATTACAGGTTACACAAGAATTAACTTTTGGACACTCTTAATGAAAGGAGTTGTCTATTTCAATAACTGCCTTCAAGTCAAACCAAGCTGATGGAATGAAGTGTTAAAGTTTAACAGATCTTTTTTGTTTTATTAGTTATGTCATTTCTTACAATCAAAAAATAATACCCTTCAAATGCCCAAAACCCAAAAGTTTTACTTTTTACATTTCTTTAGTGTATTATGTGTACATATAATGCTGGTACTGACATAAAGTAATTCACAGTGTATATTAAATAAAGTAAGAAAATGAATTAATGATATTGAAAATATCTCACTTTGAGAATTATAAAATTGAAGAATATTTTCCTTTCTGAATGCTACAAATTATTATGAATTAAATATTAATAATGAAGTGTTTCTACACTATATGCAGATCCTTTAACCTTATTAGATTTGAGAGTCAAATAGTAGCAAGCTGAGGAGAAAATCTGCAAGGACAACTGTGCTCAAAGAGGCTTAGTATTTTAAGGAAAAATATAGATAACTCAAATGGAATTTCACAGGTGTAACTATCTTACTACAGAGTAATTTTCAATCAAACCAGAAATCAAGTATCTGGACTAGAATTCTGCCATTTGGAAAATGTGTTTTCCATGTGATGCTAAGAAGATAATATGAGAATAAAAAAAGTAAAAACCCCACTTGTTTTTTTAAAGATAAATTTCATAACTGGTATTTTAATTTAAGCAACATAACTCTTAGGTCAATGCCATAATATTTCTCATACATAGTAATTTTGTGCTTTGCAAATATATTTTGTGCAAAACGCAAATTTTGTGCATTTGAAATCATAATACGTTTGGTTGCAGACTTGTATTTTTTAAAAAAAAACCAACAAAAGAAATCTCAATAGTGCAATTTTGAGTATTGCTTTGTCTTATCGTTGGATAGTGCTGTGACTGATGTCATTTATTCCAGAATTATGTCTGAAGAGGTGTGTGTTTTCAGAACATGTTTTTGAGAATTATGGAAGATATTCTAGAATATTTGTGTCTATACAGTCATCTAAAACAGTCACTGACTACTTCAATGAAAAGTAAAGGATGCAGAGAACTGAATGCAGGATCCTAGAACGAAAAGGAATTGTGAAAACAAGCAGGACAAAGAGTTTTTTCAGTTTCCTCCACATGTATGAAAAAAGCCTGACTTTGTTAAATACAGTGAGTACAACATAGAAATAGTTTGCTTATTTTTGATGAGTTGAATAGGAAGGTTGACTGTCTGTCCAGTCTGAAGCTCTAGAAGAAAACCTTAAAGAAGGAAACCTCTTCTGTTTTAGCTCAGTGTCACCCTTCTCTGACTGCAGCTTGTTTGCCACAAACCACATTCTGGGACAAAACACATCATGGATGAGCTGCAACCACTCCATCAGTCTTTAATTCCAAACTGTTAAAATCCTCTGCAAGCCTTAGGCAATGTTTAGGAATTAATCCCTTGTCAGCCTCATGGTTTAACAGCTTGGGTTTTTGTAATGATATTCTCTATCCCCATGATTCGTAGTAGGCAGATTGTTTACTAAACAGATTAAAAACCAAGACAGGAAAAAAATGAGCCAAACCTCTAGTCTTTGAGATTACACATAATTTTCTAAAAGGTAATGCTAAATGTTTTCATGGATTCAAAAAGAACTTGGACAAATCTGGGTGAAAAAAAAAAATCAAATTAAGCATGCTAAGTACAAAGGGACCACCTTAGCATTGGAAATCCTTTGTGGTGTAGGAGGTTGTAAAAGTACCCTGGAAAAATATCACTCTGGTTTTGGCCTTTTATTCTGGAGGAAAACACTGCTGTAGAGAGAAATCTGGGCAGGATGGTCTGTTTTCTTTTTATTCCTACAATTTCTCTAATATTTGTTCTCACACAAATTCTAAAATGATTCAGAGTAATCTCTCCAATTCCACATCAGTGTCGGGTCAGAAACTTTGAGTCAATATATAGATTTTTAGTTGCTTTAATGTTGTGAGAATTCTGAACACTGATTTCCAGTACTAATGTTGTTCTTAAAAGAAAATTACATTAATGCTGAATTAAAAGATCCTGTTCATTAAATAATCCCAATGTTCAAACTCATTAGTAGGCTTAGATTTTCAAATAATTTGAACCACAGTAAAAGAAAATATATAAAATACATAAATATATTTTAAATTGTTGTGAAGAGGACATCTCCTGTATTAATAATGTTAAAAGTGTTTGATTAGTCTATGTTGATGATACCAGATAATGTTAATATGAGAAAAATGAAGAATATACTAATTTGTTAAGATGCACCTGGTTTTAGCACATTTCAGTGAGAAGTTCAGACATAGGGGAAGAGTAATTGCCCATCTAAAAGTGAATTCCATTTGGTGGCTGAAGGCAGAATGAATCATTAAATACATTCTCAAAAATCACTGTGATGAACTTTCAAATCCAGTGTTGAGTATTTTTAAAGATGACTTCACAAAAGAATGTGATGCTACGAATATCTTTGGTAAAGAATAGCTTTGAGATTTGGAAACTCCCAAATTTGTATGACTCTAAAAGCCACCTGAACAATCTGGAAAAGTAAACAAAATCTTTAAAAAGACACTTTGCACACAGCACTGTGCAGGGTGGCACTCATGTATGAATCAAACAAATAATTTTTTTAAGTTTTTTTTTAATGTAAACTGAAGAGAATACCTGTAAATGACATTATGTCTAGTTCTAGTTTTGCCCTTACATTGAAATTAAGCAGTTTTATGTTACAAAGCATGTCGTAAACCATATCAAAGTCAATAACGTGAACAGGTATATCTGGACATTTTTCTTTAAATGTCTTGGATCTAGAATTCCCATTTACACTTCACTGCGTCCTATGCTCAGCCATTAGACCACCAAATTGCAGATGAGGAGTGTTGAGCATTGGTGTACAGCTGAGAAAAACCTGAGTAACTCAGAACAAGGTTGCTCAGCACAGGTGTTTGTGTAATTATGATGTATTGGAAAAGCCCTTTGTTCCATAGCCTTCCAGCTGCCTAGAGAGTCAATTCCAGAAGTTTTTAGCAGAGTTGAATACCACTGAGCAAGGCTGCAGCAATCACCTTTTAGAGGGAACATGGATAGCTTACTTTTACAGGTCAAGGCACCACTCCCTTGAAAATGGTACTTGCATGCCAAGTAATAGACACAATAACTTCTTTCTCCACCTCCTTCATTAGCAGGCAAGTTAAAAAGAACTCACCAGGGAGGTATTTGAGCAAATTCTGCAAAAAGAGGAAAAATGCTGCAGCTGAGTGTTTTAGGATCCCCCACCTCTGTGCTAAGGACAGGGCAAACAGGAGTCTGAAAAAAACTTGAATTAAAGTGTCCTGGGAATAGCAGAATAGCTTGCCATTTGTTTATACCAAAATGCAATCTAATTGTGATTTTATAGATTTCTGCATATGTAGGCAGAGGCTGGCCCAAAGAGAACATTAACAGCCCTCACCTCAATAAACACAAATGATGGAGTGTAGAATGAGCATGCCAATACAATTTCTGTTCAAAGTCATTTCTCCTTAGAAGTCACTATAACTAGTTGAAGCTGTCTCCAAGCTATTTAGAAGACGTTTAAAATCATTTAATCACAAGCAAATGTCAGAGTATTTTTGCAATCAAATAAAATCTACCACTTCTGTACCTTATGCACTTTTAAGGACATCACAGAAAATCTCAAACCTTAACATGCTTCCAAAGTAAGAGTAGTATGTATTTTTAGC